GCAGACTAGTGTCCAATGCAGAGCTAACAAGGACAGAAAAGCCACTATCCTTCTGCACTAAATGCCCTCCTTCTCCTCCACAACAGGACTAAAGGTGTGCGGGATGTTTTTATTACTTATTAGGGGATACCTAAGTAGAGTTATAAACATGCCAAAACCCCTTTTAATTTCAAATAAAATGCCTTGGAATTCAAGGCATTCACTTGCACATAAACCAAATCACTACACAATAATGCCTTCCTACAAGGAGAGTCTGGCGCCATTGAAACCTCTTAACTGGATCCTTCAAGGATCATCTCCCAGCTGCCAGGCCGGCAGGCGCATGCTTCCAGGCTTTCTGCACACAGGACTTTGATGCTGCTCCCATGACTATACCCTAGCTTCTAGGAGGAGAGAGGATGGCAGAAGTCAGTGTGCAAGGATGTTCTGTCTGGTTCTGTTTTGCATTTATTTACTTAGTTAGGCTCCACCCATCAGAGTTTATTTCTTAAAAGTCTGGAGGCTGAAGTCTGAGCCCAAGAGCCAGCACAATCAGGGAACAGAGGGCCCTTCGTGGCTTGCAGGCATCTGCTTCCCTCTGCTGGGTTCTGAGATGGTTCTTCCTCTACCATCTAAGAGGATTGCCACCTCATCCCTATGGTAGCCTCAATAAAGCAGCAGATCATCCTCATCCTATTCTTTGCTCTAAAAGCCTTCCAGAGCTGACTAATTAGCTGCAGTGCCAGAAAAATCCAAGAGTGGAAGGGGCTTCTTACTCTCATCCTATTTCTCTCTCCCTCCCTCCCTCCTTCCCTCCCTCCCTCCCTCCCTCCAGCACTAGGCACTGAATCTAAATGCCTTGTAGATCCTAGGCAGGTGCTCCACACTGAGCTACACCCCCAGCACCTCCTTTTCTTTACATTCATTTTTAACAGCTGTTCAAAGATGGCATTTGGGATTAAAGTAGAAAAATGTTATGCATATTATTCTAGTAATTTTATTTATTTTACTTTATTTATTTGAGACAGGGTCTCACTATGTAGCCCTCGATGAATGGAACTGACTATGTAGACCAGGCTGACCCAGATATCCGCCTGCCTCTGCCTCTAGAATGCTGGGATTAAAGGCATGTGCTATCACATCTAGTTTATTTTTTAGTGTTTTGTGGAGTTTTTTTTTTTTGAAAGAGTATGTGTATGAAGTCTGGGCTAGCCTCAAACTCACCACTCTCTTGCCACAAGTCTCCCAATAACCTAATGAACGTTTTCCTCCAGAGAAAGGCAGGCAGCAGGCAGATGCAGTGCTCTGCTGCATCCTGCCTCTCTCTATCCAGTTAAGGTGCCTATGACTTCTGACAGCTCCCAAACCCTGCTCTATACAGATGGAAGACAGTGGGGCCTTTCTACTGACATCACCACAAGTCTTCCTGATGGAAGGAAGGATGTGAGGAAGGGTAAGTGGTGAGAAAGGACAGATTAAAGGCAAGAAAGGGGGTAGGGATCCCCAAAAGACAACAAAAGAAAGTGGAGAGCAGAGCTGGGATACAGTGACAACACACTTCTGTTTTCTCCTGGATTACTTCATGTTCCCTTGGGGATTCCTCTTTTAAAGTAGGTAGCAGTGGCCAGATGTGAGGGAAGCCAACTTGGCCAATTTTACCCCCGAGTTCCAGGCCCAGACACACATGTAGATGATGTAAGTGACAGAGAACATAGAGCTTGGTCAGAAGACCTGAACTTAAGCCCCAGTATTTTACAGGATTATCAATGAAAGAAACCCCTCAGTCCCACTTTTCTATCAGTATGTGTGAGTTTCTCCATGTACGTAAGTGAATCATGTATGTAAGTGAATCATGTGTGTGCTTGGTACCTGTGGAGGCCAGAAGAGGGCATCAGATCCCCTGGAACTGGAGGCACAGACCACAGTGAGCTCCTGTGAGAGTGTTGGGACCGAATTCGGGTTCCCTGCAAGAGCAGCACGTGTTCTTGACTACTAAGCCATCTCTCCAGCTACACCATTCTGCTTTTCAAATCCGGAGGCGAAGACCTGGTACTGACAACTGCCCTACTATGTCAAAAGCCAAAATGAAAAATATACACATTTGAAGAAGGCACGCTCACAGTAGGGAAGAGTACACTCTTTATGTAAGACCCCTCTTGTAGTCATATGCAATAGCATTCATGCCATGACACCCCTTAAAAATGACAAATGAGCACAACTCGGGTGGTCAAACACTATAAACACTATACAGTCAGCAGATCAAAGTTTACATGTAGCTGGAGAACCATGACTCACAAGCTGATGTTATTACCTCTACTTCAACAGCAATGTCGATCAGAACTTCAGTTCCAGCCTGTGCTAAGGGAAAGATAACTTTTCTCCCAAGTTCTACCTCCACCTAGTGCCGGGACACACACACACACACACACACACACACACCCCACACCACACCACACCACACCACAGGATCAAAATCCAGGTCACCTGCACTTGACTGTCAGCCAGTTTTTCCTAAGTTGTAGGCCTCGGCCAAGCATCAGCTGACACTTCCCCAAATATAAGTTAGGACTTCTCCTCAATTCAAGGCTGGGCAATCACTGTGATAGCCTCTGAATAGAGCCTAATCCGGAGCCTAGTGTAGTCCTGTTGCTCAGTGTTTGAGAACTGTGTTGTCACTATCCCAAAGCAATCTTTATATTTTTATTTTTTAAGAAATACTTACACTACATATTCAAATATAATTATCAAAATTCTTTCAGCAAAGTTCAATGAGGGGCTGGCAAGATGGCTCAGCAGGTAAAGGCACTTATCACCAAGCTTAAAGACCCACAAGATGAAAGGAGAGAATCAATTCACAAAAGCTATCCTCTGATCTCTGTCCCCCTCCCCCAACCACACACACACACACACACACACACACACACACACACACAATACGTGTGTAATGACTTTAAGTTCAACAAACGGAATTCCCTCAGACCATTCATAGATCCTGAACCTGTGTCCCTGAAACAGATGGAAGGTTGAGATCGCATCTAGCAAGTGTAAAACCCATCCTCCCTCTGGCTAGTACCTGCTGATATGATAATACCTCGAGGCAGGTGATGACTTAAACCACTACTGTGTCTCCTTCAGTTACTTCAACCCATGAGGAAAGAGGGTGACTATTTCCCAACAGCTTCCCAGGAGAGCTAGCTTTAGAACCAGGCTATCTGCTGTCTCTTCCCTGACAACAGGGGGAAAACAGGAAGGCAGAAGACTCCCTCACCTTAGAAAGCTCCATTACACAAGGGGAGCAGATCAACAAAGACTCAGGAACCACATCCTTCAGGACTCCAATTTTAACTTAATGTGGGACTGTCCTCCACGGTACCTTCTTCTGGCCTGGAGTGCAAGTGTGACACATGACAATCTTTTTTCTCTTTAAGTATAAATGAAAATCTTGTAAAAAAAAATCAAGGCTGAAGATTAATCAGACCTCCATTCCCTTTTATTTATTATTTATTTTGTTTTGCTTTTTTGAGGCAGGGTCTCCCTGGAGCCCTGGAACTCACTATATAGACCAGGCTGGCCTTGATCTCATAGAGATCTGCCTCTGCCCTCCCCAGTGTTGGGATTAAAGGCATGCACCACAACACCTGGCTCCCAGCTCTGTTTTTTAATTTTTTTGGAGACAGGGTCTCATGTAGCTCAGGCTGGCCTCAAACTCCGTATGTATCAGAGGATGACCTTGAACTTCTGATCTTCCTGTCTTCATCCCTAGAGAGCTGGGGTCACAGGAGTATACCACACACAAGGTTTATATGGTGCTGGGGCTCAAACTCAAGGCTTTGCAAGCTAGGCAAGCACTTTACTAACTGACCTATATCCCCAGCATCCAGTTTAAGTTTAAGCAACTTTTTCTTGCGCCTACCGGATATAAGGACAGGTACCCTCATCCAGCACTGACTCTGCCAGCTGTAGACTGCCCACTGTCCCCCCCCCCACCCCCCTCATTAACCGTCCTCTGTCTAGGAGTCCCAGAAGACTGTCAAAACAGTCTGAAAGGCATACAAGGAGTAGCTATTGAGAAAGCCTGTGGGTACAAATGCATGTGAGGCTTTTACACAACCCCTCAAAACTCACAAAAATCAGACCGACTGGAGGAGGTGAACACAAAGAAAAGATTCAAATCTAGGAAGTAAAGTGCATGAAAGCTGCAAGGAGTGGTAGGAAACCGAGCTGGTTCCACCAGAGGGAGGGAAGAGCACTGACTGGGAGGAATCGCCCCAGTAAGGGGAAAGAAAAAACTAGCCCTCGGACCTCCAGTTCCGTGTTGTTGTTTTTGTCCCCAGGAAGCCACCAAAACAGCTCTTTTTCAAGAGAGGGATCACATTAACAAAGCAAATAGAGGAAACCTGTGCTCAAAGCGTAACCTACCTACAACTGAGCCCTGGGAACGGAAATACCTCTTTCCCCGTTTTGTAGTGGGTTTCAAAACAGAAGGGACCGGCAACGAGATAAAAACTACAAGGCAAGCGAGGGGGAGCGGCCAAGATTTTCTTGAATACAGGGAGTCTTCCTACCAGAGGCCTTTAAATGTACCTTTCTAGGGCTGACCCACACGTAGCTAAACACCCAGCGCCTGGCTCTCAATCAGAGAGAAGCGATTGGTGGAAACAGCGGGGCAATTAGTTTAGGCAATTAGGCAAGAGCATCACTCAGATTTGATGTGGCTGGTACCCTAATACTCCCACACACACCCATGAGTGGCCAGAACTACAGGAGGGTTTGCATTGTGGCTGGAGTGCAGGGACAAAAGCAGCCACATTAACGCAACGCGCGGGCCCGAGGTCAGTCAGGCAATCCCAATCATGGTTTGCCGGTGGGGACCCCAGCGCGGGCCGAGGTCAGCCATGCAATCCCACCGGGGTCTACGGCTAGGCACCCAGCGCGGGCCGGGCAGTGCGCTGCACAGCTCAGGCTGCAGGGGCGCGGCCCTCGCAGACCCACCTGCGGGCGTGCGAGCCCCGGGCACTTACTTTCGTTCGGCCGTTGATCACGTAGTTGCCCAGCTTGCCGTTGCAGTGGCGGATCAGGTCGTCCATGCTGCTCATGAGGAGGCCGATGGTCTCGCAGCCCGGCTCCTTGCCCTCAATCCAGGTGATCTGGTCGCCCCGGATGTCCTTGGACGAGTCGCTTTTCTGGCTGACCAGCTGCCCGTCCGTGAACTTGCCGGTGTCGTGCAGGGCGCGCACCTCGTCTCCGATCTGCTGCCCGGTCTCCCTGCCCAGGAAGTCGTCCACCACGCAGATGCCGTGCTTGTTCATGCACGGCACGATGTACTCCAGCGCCAGCTTCAGCGCGGGCAGCGGCTTGGTCTGCCCATTGGGCCGCAGGCCTCCGCCGGGTCTCAGCGCATCTCCAGGGGGGCCGCCCGCCGGGCACAGGCTGGCGCGCTCAGGGCCCGGCGACCTGCGCGCCGGCTCCTTGGGCCCCGCTTCGCCCGGACCACGGCCACCCCGGGCCTGCGCCTTGTCCCTCGGGCCCGCGCGCGGCGCCTCGGCACTGT